CCCACCCCCCCCGGGGTTTTTTTTTTTTTTTTTTGTGGGTGGGGGGGTGGGGGGGGGTTTTTTTTTTTTTTTTTTGTGGGTGTGGTTGTGGGGGGATTTATTATTTATTTATTTTTAGCTCCCTCCAATAAGTGAGAACATGTGGTATTTCTTTTTCTCTGCCTGACTCATTTCACTGAGTATTATTCTTTCAAGGTCCATCCATGTTGTTGCAAATGGCAGTATTTGATTAGTTTTTATAGCTGAGTAGTATTCTATTGTGTAGATATACCACATTTTCCGTATCCACTCATCCGATGATGGACATTTGGGTTGATTCCAGCTCTTGGCTATTGTGAAGAGTGCTGCAATGAACATTGGGAAACAGGTATACCTTCGACTTGATGATTTCCAGGAACAAGTTCATTTTTGAGTGCAGTGAGGAAAGTGGTTTGCAAGAAGTAAAGTTTGGACTCTAGATTTCATACGGGTGCCTTCCATAAAAGAAGCTGCCTGGGGCATGATCTCATGTCATTTATAGCCTATTCCTAACTGCTAGCGTGATGCTTGGCCCACTATAGGGATTCGATTACTATTTCCTGAATGAGTGAAAGAATCAAAGAAAAAGAAAATTCCAGAACATGCTCCATCTGCCATCCTTCTTCATTAGTATTAGACTTAACTATTAGGATTTTTAAAGTTTGTATATAATGTTTAAATTTAATGAATTGTTAGCATGTTAATAAATAACATGCAATGAGTTTTCAAAATATATAAACAAATTTAATACAATATCTTCATTTTCTCATAAGTTAGAAAAATAAAAGTATTAGCTATAAGAAATTCCACACCTTAACTACATTCTGATAGTGGCCTGCCCCCATAATACTTGTTCCTATGAGAAGAGAACTGATTCATTAGACATATGGTACCACGTAAGAAATAGTGGGAGAGAAAATGATTGCTATTGGTCCATGAGCAATCATATTTGACTTCAGCATTGGTTTCCCTCCTCCCCCTGTTGTTTTCTATCTCCTCCACCCATCTAAAGGAGGAATGGGAGGAAAAGGTGAAAAAATAAACATTTAACTACATATCACACCTAATAGATAGTAAATCCATTGTTTGTCCCTTTCTGTTCTTTTGATATATCCCAGATGGAATCAGCTATGAAATGGCTCATCTCACATAGACCCAAGAGAGGCTAGTGAGAGTGGTGCATTGACAAGAAAAGCAAACTGATGAAAATGTGATTTATTTTATAAGAGGTATAAAATGAATATAGACTATGTACAGACATTTTATTTGAACTCAGTCCATCTAATATGCTTAATTAATCAGAAAAAATTAAAATGAGCTTTAGGAATGCCATTCTGGCTTGGGTTATTCTGGGGGAAAAAAGAAAAGTTCCAGAATGTTTTCCAGCATTCTTCTGCCATGAAAGTAGCCCTGGCTTGCTTCTATAACAAACTCAGGAATCCATCAATACTAAGCTGTGCTGAGGTCACTGAAATGTGTTTTATCTCAGGGAAAGATTTGACATCAAGACAAGATCAGGGTAGAAAGGAAAGGAGTATTGATTAAAACCGGGGGAAGATCAGAATTAAATTAATCCTTTCTGGTTTTAATTTCTAAAAATTCTCCATTCTCTGAATTAGCAGCTTGGTAAATATGTTCATATTCTTTACGTATTCCCACCCATTCATTTGTTCAACACATAGTTATTGAGAGCTTATTATGTATCAGCACCTTCCTGGGTGCTAAGGCCCAAAACAGACGAAAATTCTTATCCTTCTGGAACTAACATTCTGATGGGAATGAGGAGATGACAGACAGTAGCATAGTAAATTAGTAAACAATATTGTGTTTTAGAAGGTGAGTAGTGCTAGAGGAGAAAAAAATAGGCAAAAGGAGATGGGGTGTGCAGGGGACGAGGGATTTGCAATTTTAAATAGGGTAGTTGTTGTAGTCCTCACTAGCAAGGTCAGACTGAACAAAGATTTGAAGCTGGGGGAATTAGCTATCTGGATATCTGGAAGAACATTCTGCACAGAGGAAACTACACTGCAAAGGCCATGAAACAGAAGCATGCTTGTGGTTTTAGGAGATAAAAAGGCAGTCAAATGACTGGAGTGGAGTGAGCTGGGGTGAATTGTAGGAGATAAAGTCATAGATAGATTGGAGGGCTGGATTATGTAGGGCTTTATAAGTGATCATAAGGGTTTTTCCCACCTTAGGGTTATGGGGATAGCTGAATGCACCCCACCTCACACTGTACAAGTTCGATTGACAGCAGTTTATCAGTCACATATACTCACAGCCCAAGGGAAGAGAACACCACTTGCCCAGAGTGAACAACCAGCCCCTGTGGGAGGCAGGCTTTGTAGTATCGAGACGGTGGGGTGCTCCCTGGTTTCTGAGGGAAGATGTGATTGACTTGTTTGCATAATTCAACACCACTTGCCCAGAGTGAACAACCAGCCCCTGTGGGAGGCAGGCTTTGTAGTATCGAGATGGTGGGGTGCTCCCTGGTTTCTGAGGGAAGATGTGATTGACTTGTTTGCATAATTCCATGGGCTGGCGGGGAACCAAAACCTTCCCCTTAGCAATAAGCAGGCACTGTGCCTGGTTCCCATGATTGGGAAGGTGGTTTTGTTAAGGGACCTTATCCATGGGAGCTGAGTAGGGAGAGGAGCTTGCAGTTAGGCCATTCCCAATTTTACCATGTTGACCTAAAAGAAACTGAGGCCAAACATATACACTATAGGATTTATTGAGCCAATATGATGATTACAATCAGGGAAAGGCATAGGTCAGGTCACCCTGAGAAATGCACTCAGAAGAGGGCCAGCAAAGCTTAGCATTTTATAATTACAAGAAGGGGGAAGAATCAAAGGAGAGAGAGGGAGGACAGCCCCACCGAATCACTTTATCAGTTCTATTGGTTGTACATAATGTATACATTTGGGATTGTTACTAGGTTATATCCTACAGGTATACAGGGATCTAGGGTAAGGGTTACAAGAAGCATTCTAGGTTATTTTCTAACTTTCTGGTGCCATAATGTCTGCTCCTAAGTAAAAATGGTCTTATGATAATGTTTTTCATGACAGGTCAGGTGGATGTGACTACTGACTTATCCCAGATCTCCCAAGGCACTATAATTTAGCTAACCTGATCAGAGCAGATTTTTTTTTTTTTTTTTATCAACCAGATGTCGAGGCAGCACAAAATATTAGACCTTAAATTTAGGCCTTACATCACAGGAAGTCAAAACTTGAAGAATGACTAGTGGTGGTGCCAGTAAGTTTTCTAGTTTTATTTTGTTTTGTTTTGTTTTCCTTCTTTACTGCCTTACTCTGACCTGAGAGGAGCAGGCTGAATCAGAGAAGTAGGGACAGCAAAACCTCAAGAGGAACCCTTCTTCCTGGCCAGGGGACTGGGAAAAGGGGTCCCTAGGAACAGGAGAGTTAAGAAAAATCTCCTTTTTCCCCTTTTTTTTCTCCTAGTCCTGCTTGGAGAGTAACACCAGACATGTTGGCCCTGCCACAGCAGGGCAAGGGCATGGGCACCTAAAACCCTGAGAGAGAAGCCATCTTTCTGCCTAGAGAAACTTGGAAAAGGGGCCCCTATTCTGTGAAGATCGAAGG